TTCAATGAGTTTAAGTAAAAGTATTTTGATTTCAAGTCAGGCGGTTCAAACCCACCAGCCACTCCTCGGAAGGAAGGTTGGGCAATCCTACTTCCGTAGGGATACTGCCTCGGAAACCCAAGGAGGGGTCGCTATGAGTCGGGGCCGACTCGATGGCAAACAACAACAACAACAACATATAGCATTCTACAAATATCATCTGAGAGTATTCAAGCTCACAAATCATGTTATGTATTTTCCAATCTAACAAATAATTGGTGTTTCTTGGTCTGTTTCTATCCATCTGCTCATGACCATCGTAAAAGTCACTTATGATAAGTAGATTTCCTGCAGTGTTCCTGCAGTATATCTTTCTAGTGATACATGTTTGCATGTGTAATACACATGCACACACAAACATAAGCTATGTCTTTGTACAGTGGCCTTATAAATGAAAGCATTGAGAAAGCAGCTTTTGCTCTAAAATAAGAACCAATTTTCAGCATATCGTGACCTTGCTGCCTTAGGAACACATCACTTGTTATGCTAAATTGTCTGACTCAACTCCCTATCTACCTAGATAACAGGCATTTTCTATTTTTTCCTACAAAATTTTTTTTTTTTTTTTGCCTAGAGTTTCCATTCCATTTTCCTCCCTTAGAATTCTAACTCTTTTACAATGGACTAAATCAAATCTTCCAGATATCTTCTATCTAAATGGAGCTCCAATTCTGGTTCTGAATTTCCAGTATTTTTCTGTGCTACAAATCCTGCTTTTGCCATTTAGCAACTGTGCCCATTGGGTGATTCAGCTGGATCTTTCTGAGACTCAAGGTTTTTTTTCTCATTTGTGAAATGGTGATAATACTATTCACTTACATTTTGTAGTATTTTGTAAGTATTACTTTTACAAGAATTAAATAAAATAATTTAAGTATTTAGCACAGTGCTTGATACACTGGAAGAAATCAATAAAGGGAGACGATGACAAAGTATCAGTAGTAATTACTATTTCACCTATATCTGAAGTACCCTCATGATGAGATATGTTAGGCTAAAGAAGATACATGAATTAATATAGTACTGGATCATTCTCTATGAAACATATTTGCACTGACAATTACTGCTCCACACAACATGCTACTCTCTATCAGCACTAAATTCATCAGTACCTAAAATGGTCTTCCTAATGAATGGGACAGAGAAGTTCAATATCTTTGGCCAAAACAAGGCCAGAACCTGATTGTGGAACAGACCATCAACTGCTCATATGCATGTTCAAGTTGAAGTTGAAAACAATTAAAACAAGTCCATGAGAGCCAAAATATGATCTTGATAATATCCCTCCTGAATTTAGAGACCATTTAAAGAACTGATTTGATGCATTAAACACCAATGACTGAAAATCAGAGGAATTGTGGGATGACATCAAGAATATTATTCATGAAGAAAGCAAAAGGTCACTAGAAAGACAAGAATGGAAGAAAAGGCCAAAAGCGATGTCAAAAGAGACTCTGAAACTTGCCCTTGAGCAGAGAGTAGCTAAAACAAATGGAAAAAATGACAAGATAAAAGAGCTGAAGAAAGATTTCAAAAAGCAGCTCAAGAAGACAGTCAATTACTATAATGAAATGTGCAAAGACCTGGAGTTAGAAAACCAAAAGGGAAGAACACACTTGGTATTTCTCAAGCTGAAAGAACTGAGGGAAAAATGTAAGCCCTAAGTTGCAATGCTGAAAAATTCAATGGGCAAAATATTGAATGATGCAGGAAGTTCAAAAAAAAAAAAAAAGATGGAAGGAATACACAGAGTCACTGTACCAAAAAAAATTGGTTGCTGTTCATATATTTCAGCAGGTGGCATATGGTCAAGAATCAATGGTATTGAAGGAAGAAGTTGAAGCTGCACTGAAGGAATCGGCAAAGAACAAGGATCCAAGAATTGACGGAATATCCACTGAGATGTTTCAACAAATGGATGCTCCACTAGAGGCATTCACTTGGCTATTCCAAGAGATTTGGAAGACAGCTACCTGGCTAACTGATTGGCAGAGATCCATATTTGTACTCATTTCAAAGAAAAGTTATCCCTCAGAATGTCAAAATTATCAAACAGTGTCATTAATATCACATGCAAATAAAATCTTACTGAAGATAATTAAAAAACAGTTTCAGCATTATGTTGACAGAGAGCTTCCAGAAATGCAAGCTGGATTCAGAAGAGGACGTGGAATGAGGGATATCATTGCTGAGGTCAGATGAATCTTAGTTGAAAGCAAAGAAAGATGTTTAGTTATGTTTTATTGTCTATGCCAAAGCATTCGATTGTGTGGGTCATAACAAATTATTGATAACATTGAGATGAATGAGAATTCCAGAACACTTGATTGTACTCATGAGGAACCTGTACACAGACCAGGAGGCTGTCATTCGAACAGAACAAGGAGATACTGCATGGTTCAAAATCAAGAAGGGAGTGTGTCAAGGCTGTATCATTTCACCACACTTATTCAACTTGTATGTTGAGCAAATAATCCAAGAAGGTGGATTATATGAAAAAGAGTATGGCATCAGGATTGGAGGAAGACTCATTAACAACCTGCAATATGCAGACGACTCAACTTTGCTTGCTGAAAGTGAGGATGACTTGAAGCACTTACTGATTGTGGTAGTTATGTTTGTGTGTCAACTTGGCTGGGCCTGGTTGAGTGGGTGGGCAGCTGGTGGTAGTTTTTCCCCATGATGAGACTGGCAATCAACTCCATGGTGGGATCTACCACAAGCAGCTGGGTAGCTGCCTTTGGGATGTGGTCTGCTTTCTGTATGTAAGGAGAAGCCTTGGGAATGGTCTCTATCCTATGGCATGCTTGGATCCTGCATGTAGGTGTGTTGTTGCTCAGCAGCCTGCTATGCTCTGCCAACCTTGGGACTTAAAATAGACTTAAGTTAATGGCCTGTTGTGTGGTTTGGTAACATCAGGACTGTGCCGTTTTTACTTGTCAAACTTGGGGCTTCTCAGCCTCAGCAGCCAGCAGCTGTTTGAGTGAAGAAACACCTCTAGCTCCAGTGGGCCAGGAGCAGGAGGCAGAGCTAGACCCCAAGGTTGAGAGGCTTTCACCTAGCCCCTAGAGCCTGGTACTTTGAACTTGAACTTAAAGCCTCCAATTGTAAGAATAAACTCCTGTTTGTTAAGGCCATCCCATTTGTAGTATATTCCTGTCAGAGTGGCACTAGGTAACCAGAACACTGATGAAGATTAAAGACTACAGTCTGCAGTATGGATTACACCTCAAGATGAAGAAAACAAAAATCCTTACAACTGGTCCAATAAACAACTTCATGATAAATGAAGAAAAGTTTTAAGTTGTCAAGGATTTCATATTACCTGTTGGGTCTATAGTCAACACCCATGGAAGCAGGAGTCAAGACATCAGACAATGTATTGCATTGGGCAAATCTGCTGCAAAAGACCTTTCAAGTGCTGAAGAGCAAAGATGTCTCCTTGAAGACTAAGGTGTGCCTAACCCAAACTATGGTATTTTCAATCACCTCTTATGCATGTGAGAGCTGGACAATGGATAAGGAAGATCGAAGAAAAGTTGATGCTTTTGAATTGTGGTGTTGGAAAAGAATGCTAAGAGTACCATGGTCTGCTAAAAGGACTGACAAATCTGTCCTGGAAGAAGTGCAGCCTGAATAATCCTTGGAAGCGAGAACGGCCAGACTTTGTCTCACCTACGTTGGTCATATTGTCAGAAGAAACCATTCCCTGGAGAAGGATATCATGCTTGGTAAAGTGGAAGGTCAAGGAAAAAGGGGAAGGCCCTCAATGAGATGGCTTGACACAGTGGCTGCAATGAGGGGCTCTGGTATAGCAAGGATTGTGAGGCTGGCACAGGATCAGGCAGTGTTTCATTCTGCTGCACACAGGGTCACTATGAGTCAGAGATGACTCGACGGCACCTAACAACAACAACGAATGCAAAATTACCTGCTGACCACATCTGAAACTGGGAGAGGGTATGAGAGATGAACATTTGGCTTTGGAAAAATTATTTGTTTTCCATCATGAAATGTTATTTGAGCACTGTCCTATCATCTATTGTTAAAATATAGTTATATATAAATGATTTTTAGACCAATTCTGCATATTTCACAATTTCTTTTTTTTCTGTTTTGCTTCTCTAGAACAAAGAAAACAATTGTATAATGTAATCCACAGGCACAATATAGATCATAACTGTGTCTTATTACTATGGGCTCAATGTTCTAGAGTATCTTTTTAGAGATGAGCAAATATGAAATATAATTTTGGTTACCTTGGGTGGAGGAAGACACCCTGAGAATGAGCGATCTTCTTTTCGAAAATTCAAATTGAGGTTGTCTATGTTGATTTTGCCATTGGCTGTCTTTAGTGCCATCTTCAAAACCTCTAAAAGGCTGTTGTTCATGTCTGATGGCAAATAGGAGTCTTGGGATGAAGGACTGATGGGACAGGGAACAAGAAATGCTATGAAAAGTCAATTCACACAAAGCAGCTATGCACCTTCATATTATGTTCTTCACCTCTGTACACACCTTCTGACCTGAGAACCCACCTAATAAGGTGTTCTGTATCTCTTTATCTCTGGTCAAGAGACTGCATTTGGAGATTTCACAGACTAACTCAGAGCTGCTTCATTCCAGAGAGTGTTATAGTCTCTTCCAGGAGGCACCAACCAATTTGTTTGACAGAACAAAACTTATTATCCTTCTTTCTAGCTCTTGTTGAGAGAAAAATTAGAAATGATTGTAGTAGTTTATTTTAACTGCTTGATCTCATTTTTCTTAAGCCCAGATAATTCCTTATTGTGAATCAAATATCCAAACTGCACCTATTGCCATGAAGCAAAGCATGTCCTGGCAGACTTCAGTAGCCAGGAAACCTGCATCAGTGTAAATCCTGAAACAGATCAACAGCCTGCTTTTTATAGCTGTTGTTGTTGTTGTTGTTATGTGCCATCGAGTCAGCCCTGACTCATAGCGACCCCTCCTTGGGTTTCCAAGGCAGTATCCCTACGGAAGTAGGATTGCCCAACCTTCTTGAAAACTCAAAAGTGTTTTGGAAATAATTATCCACTTATGGTCTTAAGTGCCATCAATTTGGCTCCAACTCATAGTGATCCTATGTACAATTAAAAAAAAAAAAAAAACACTGCCCAGCATTGCACATCCTCACAGTCCATGCTATGCTTGGGCCCATCATGGCAGCCACTGTGTCAATCCATCTCACTGAAGGTCTTCCCTGTTTCCACTGACCCTCTACTTTACCAAGCATGATAGCCTTCTCTAGGCCCTGGTCTCTTCTGACCACATGACCAAAGTAGGTGAGATGAACTGGCTATTTTTGCTTCTAAGGAGCATTGTGGCTGCACTTCTTTCAGCAAAGATTTGTTCATTCTTCTGGCAGTCCATGGTATTTTTCAGTATTCTTAGGCAACACCACAATTCAAAGACATCAACTCTTCTTTGGTCTTCCTTATTCATTATTCAGCTTTCATGTGTATATGAGGCAACTGAAAACACCATGGGTTAGGTTAGGTGCACCTTACTTTTCAAAGTGATATCTTTGCTCCTTAACACTTTAAAGAGATTTTTAGAAGCAGATTTGCCCAGTGAAATACAATGATTTCTTGACTGCTGCTTCTGTGGTGTTGATGGTGGATCCAAGTAAAATAAAATCTTTTACAACTTCAATCTTTTCTCCATTTGTCATGATGCTACTTATTGGACCAGTTGTGAGGATTTTGTTTTCTTTATGCTGAGATGTAATCCATATGGAAAAAGTCTTTCATCTTTATCAGTAAGTTCTTTAAATCACCTTCACTTTCAGCAAGCAAGGTTGTGTCATCTACATATTGCAGGTTGTTAATGAGACTTTCTCCAATCCTGATGCCATGTCCTTCATATAGTCCAGATTCTTGGAATATTTGCTCAGCTTACAATTTGAATAAGTATGGTGAAATTATACAGCCCTGACACACATCTTTCCTTATTTTAAACCCTTGTACTGTTCCAACAACTGCCTCTTTGTCTATGTGCAGATTCCTCATGAGCACAATTAAGTGTTGTCAAATTCCCATTCTTTGCAATGTTATCCATAATTTCTTATGATCCATATAGTTGAATGCATTTGCATAGTCAATAAAACATAGGTAAACATCTTTCTGGTATTTACTTTCAGCCAAGATCTACCTCACATCAGCAATGGTATCCTTTGTTCAATGTCCTCTTCTGAATCCTGGTTGAATTTCTGGAAGTCACCTGTCGATAGAGTACTGCAACTATTTTTGAATTATCAACAAAATTGCCCCTGAATGTGATATTAATGATATTGTTCAATAATTGTCACATTCTGTTGGATTATCTTTCTTTGGAATGGGCAAACATATGGATCTATTCCAGTCAGTTGGTCAGGTAGCTGTCTTCCAAGTATTTTTTGGCATAAACAAATAAGCACATCCAGTGCTATATCCATTTGTTGAAGCATCTCAGTGAGTATTCTGTCAAATCCTAGAATCTTGTTTTCACCAATTCCTGCAGGGCAGCTTGTACTTCTTCCATCAATACTATTGGTTTTAGATTATATGCTACATCCCCAAATGATTGAATGTCAACCAATTCTTTTTGATACAGTGATTCTGTGTATTCCTTCCATTTTCTTTTAATGCTTCCTACATTGTTCAATATTTTGCCCTCAGAATCCTTCAGTATTGCCATTTGAGGCTTGATTTTTCTCTTTAGTTCTTTCAGCTTGAAAAATACTTTTGTGTTCTTCTCTTTTGGTTTTTTAAGTCCAGGTCTTTGCATGTTTCATTATAATACTTTATCGTCTCGAGCTTCCCTTTGAAATCTTCTGTTAATATCATTTCTTCCATTTGCTTTAGCTACTCTCTATTCAAGAGTAAATATCAGAATCTCTTCTGACATCCATTTTGGTCTTTTCTTCCTTTACTATCTTTCTAATGGCCTTTTACTTTCTTCACGTATGATGTTCTTGATGCCATCCCACAACTCCTGGAGTCTTTGATCATTGCTGTTCAATGCATCAAATCTATTTTTCAGATCTTCTCTAAATGCAGGTATATTGCAAGTCATATTTTGGCTTTTGTGGATTTGTTTTAATTTTCTTCAGCTTCGACTTGAACTTGCATATGAGCAACAGATGGTCTGTTCCACAGTCAGTTCCTGACTTTGTTTTGATTGATGATATTGAGCTTCTCCATTGTCTCTTTCCATAGATGTCATTGATTTGATTTCTGTGTATTCTATCTCATGAGGTCCATGTATAAAGTTGCCACTTGTGTTATTGAAGAATTATATTTGCAATGAAAAACTCTTCAATTTTGCAAAATGCTCATGTCTTCTTCAGCATCATTTCTATCACCAATGCTTTTTTTTTTTTTTAACTACCAATGCTTCTTCCTTGTTTCCAACTTTCACATTCCACTCACCAGTAATATCTTGATTGCATGTTTGATCAATTTCAGACTGTAGAAGTTGGTAAAAATCTTCAATTTCTTCAACCTTGTCTTTAGTGGTTGGTGTTTAAATTTGAATAATAGTGGTATTGATTTGTTTTCCTTTTAGGAGTATGAATATTATCCCTGACAGCATTGTACTTCAGGATAGATACTGAAATGTTCTTTTTGATGCATTCATCATCAAAAAAAGAACTTATGGCCCAGCATGCACAACATATATTAAGATTCTTTATATCATGGATGTACTCTAAATTGCAGGTGAAGAACAATAGGATGATAAGTGTTATGATAAAATAAATATTTTACCAACTAACTTTACATGGATCCACAATCAATACCCATGGAAGCAGCAGTCAAAACATCAGACATCATATTGCACTGGACAAATCTTCTGCAAAAGACCTCTTTAAAGTGTTAAGAAGCAAAGAGGTCAGTTTGAAGACAAGGTGCACTTTATATGCATGTGAAAGCGTGACAATGAATAAGGAAGACTGAAGAAGAGTTGATGCTTTTGAATTGTAGTGTTGGCAAAGAATATTGAAAATACCATGGACTGCTAGAAGAATGAACAAATCTGGCTTGGAGGAAGTGCAGCTGGAATGCTCCTTGGAAGGCAGAATGGCCAAACTTCATCTCACCTACCCTGATCATGTTGTTAGAAGGGATCATTCCCTGGAGACAGATACTATGCTCGGTAAAGTAGAAGTGTCAGCAGACAAGGAGAGGACCCTCAATGAGATGGATTGACACAGTGGTTGCAATAATGGGTTGTAGCATATCAAAGATTGTGAGGATGGCACTGGACAGGGAGGTGTTTCATTCTGTTGTATGCAGGGTTGCTCTCAGTTGGGGATGACTTGATGGCACCTAAGAACAACAACAACTTTTCCTGGTAATTCTATGTTTCTCAGGGTAGAACTGTGCTCCAGAGGGTTTTCATAGATGTCATTGATTTGAGTTCTGTGTGTTCCATCTCATGAGGTCCATGTATAAAGTTGTCACTTGTGCTGTTGAAGAATTGTATTTGCAATGAAGCCGTCCTCAATTTTGCAAAATTCTCATGTCTACTCCAGCATCATTTCTATCACCAATGTCATTTTTTTTTAAACTACCAATGCTTCTTCCTTGTTTCCAACTTTCACATTCAATCACCAGTAATATCTTGATTGTAGATCTCTAGGCCTTTCTTTTGAGGCACCCCTGGGTGGACTCCAAACTCCATTCAATTTTTTGGTTAGCCCCTGAGTTTATTAACTGTTTCTACTACCTAGGGACTCCATTGGATCATTAATTCTAACAAATGTATCATACTAATGTAAGGTGTTACAAGTGAAACCTATGGATGCCGTGAGTTGGAAGTGACTCCACTAGCAACTAGTTATAATTTTTCTTAAAGTTCATATTGTATTTTCTCTTTCTTTGTCACTTTTACTCTAGCTTTGGCTAGAAATCATTCTATTCTGAACTGCTTAGTAATTCATAATGTTTTCCAAAAGTTTGGTATAGTAGGGGAATAGTGGATATTTGTCTTTGTTTTGGTCACCCAGATTCTGTACCTCCTTTCCCTTGCTTAGGGAATTCCTCAGCTCCTGGTACAGAGTCCACTTCCCAATCCAGCAGAGGAAAATGCCAGCTATTTACTTTTTCAGCTTATGTTTTCAGTAAAGGCACATGAGCCAGCCCCTGCCAATTAGATGTCTCTGTCCCAGATTTGACTCAGAACCTTTCTTTCTTCTTTTCTTGGAACACCATTTTCTAGGATAGGAATCCATCAGCCTTTGGCCCCCAGCTCAGTACACTCAGTACTGAATGGACAGGTGTTGTATGGAACCCATTTCTTGCAGCTTGTGAGACTTCTTGGAAGGCCTGCTGCAAGAGTTTATTTCATCTGATCCAACTCAGATGATGAGAGCTGTTGCCACCCCTACTGCCAATGGCAATGCTGGAAACTTTATAAACATC